ATAATATTTCATATTAAACTAACTCACTTCTAAAAGATATCTAAATTATATGTATGTTTAATCATAGTATATTCAGTATATAGTTACATTAGTTCGACGGATCGTTAACCTTGTAGGTCGGTTGGTCGTGGTTGTTGTTGTCACCTCTCGTAGTTTAGTGGTCAGAACATTGGTGCGTAAAGCCAAAGGTCCCGGGTTCGATTCCCGGCGGGGGTGTGACAACAGCAACAATTTTTCCTTCATTAATTTGAGGTAGTTTGTAGTGGGTAAATAAAAAATCGAAAAAATTATTTCAAATTAATATTGCATATTAATCCACTATTCACTAAGTACAAGACGAGTGAATATTGTACATTTAAAAAACAAATTTTCAATGGTCTATAAGAAGTGTTGTAGACCAATAATTAATAGTTATAAATCTTTTTATGTAATTTAAGTATAATATTATCTCGATATACTTATTCAAAATTTTCCTTTAATATATTCTTCGTTCGGGTTTCGTTTATTGTTATCATTATCAACAGTATTACTTCAGCTAAGTCAGTTGAAACCAGAAACTGTTGCATTATTAGAATTTGTTGTCCGATTTTCAAGTGAAAGGTAAACAGAGTGTGAGATGAGCTACAGGGCGGATCACGCGTCCACGCCTGAGCTTTGGTCTCTCATTGCATAATAAAACGTCTGAATGTACAGCTTCTCAGTGGCTTCGAACAAAAAAAAATTTAGTTTACTTAAAACAGTTAAAAATTCAAACAGGTCCATCATTAAAGAGGAGAGACTTGATGCCCTAAGGATGATAAAAAGCGAAAAAAATACTCTTAACCTAAAGAATATGGTTAATTTATGGACGAAACTTCATGAGGTAATCTATAGTGGGATAAAATTAAAGTGTAATATAATAATAAATATTTAGTAAAAGCAGTACGCATAACTTTTAACAGTTATTGACATTATGTGTTTCTTTGTTGCAGGCTTCCATTTTTCTTGTCGGAAGTTTACAGCTAATGCTTCAAGCTGTTCGGAGACGTGGAAAGAGTTCTTCACCCTTTCGAGCTGTCTAGCAGGTAGGCATTCAAAGCGTTTAGATACTTATTAAAACTGGGTACAGTATTTAAATATAAATACGGAACCATAAATCGCATACCAAAATATATAATTTAGTAACTGTTTCCTTCATACTTTCTTTACCATTAGAGTTACTTCGTTTGCAATGAAGCATCTCAGTTATATTGGCGCAAACATAAACAATTGTAGTAGTTATTGTCAAATACTGGGGCACGTTTTTGTATACAAAATGTGCATAAATTAATAATGCAAACACTGCATAGGTAGGTACTGACAGTACTACTCAACTAGAATTTATAAGGGCCATGCTCCATGTAGCGTGCGGGCCTCATGTGACTAATGATGGGCATGTTGATATAGGGATTTCCCCGTAAATTCTTCATGATAATCCCACAAAAAAGTGGTAATACTAATAATCTGCCTTATGGTGGCTCGATGAGGCAAATCTGTTTGAAAATACTCTCGGTAAAATAAAAAAACAAAAAATGGTAACAATCCCCTTGCCCAATTATGTCGTCGTATCAATGAAATCCTTTATATTTGAAACGAACCAACAAGTGTACTTCCTGATATTGTTATTATAAGACAACTGAAACCAGACGCACCAGGTCGAACAACAGTAAATTTGAAGTATTATTGACTATAAAAGAGCCCAATAACACAATCTTACTTAAGAACAAACAAATTTTACAAATAAGTGATATATGTATATATTCCTCCAAATGGAGATATAAATTGTATTGAAATTTGTGGAAAATTACTACGAAAAAGAAAATCCCTTTATACGTATTTACGCTAAATATTTAGAAATGTACATATAGTTTCTGGAAACAATGAAAATATCACTACCTGTAAAATCATAGACCATGGTTTATCTTAATGTTAGTGACGAAAGTAAAGAAATAATACGTGTTAAACTATTGCTACATATGCAAAAGTGAACAGTTGCTCATTGGTAAAATATATTTCTCATTCAATTTTGTATTTTCTTCATTAATAATAAAGTTAATTTTTCCAAAAATTATTCAATGAGGTAACAATAATTTTTCCCCGCGGGGCCTCATACAACATTCCTGATAATGCTCAAATGCGACAGGGCGTTATATGTCCCTTCCTTGCTTTAAGGGACAACCTCAAGGGGCCCATAAGAGGTAGTGTGACTACCCCATTAAGGACCCTACCTACTGGATGTAAGAGTTGTTAAAAATTACGCTAATATTAGATTTAGTTTTGCATCTTTTTAGGCATTTAACTTACTAAGACTAGGTCTAATTTTGTTTATCAACATACAAGATTAGCAGCCGCACATTTAACATATTTATTTTTGGTTTATGCTATTTTTATTAATGTAATCAATTTGGAATTAAAAGGCTGTTAGATAACTATCTCTCTGTAGGGATATTGCTAGTAGTTTAAGACAAAATACCAGTTACTAGAAATGCCAAGGATTTTTTGTGTATACCGCATGCGAAAGTGCGGATCTTGATATTAATTTGTAATATGCCGCTGTTATCCACATACTATAGTACAAAAACGGCGAACGGACACCGCCTACCTGTCGCAAGATGTGAAAAAATACAGGTCGGACGAAGGAAACTGGCGAGTTGTCGCGCAGGTACAGGTCGGACGAAGGAAACTAGCGAGCGGTCGCGCAGGTACTTGCCCATTTATGACTTATTTGGGTAAGTCACTCGGAACCGACCCACAAATAAGCTTTCAAATATTTTGTTTAAATATTTAATCTACGCCGCTGATAGGAATACCGAAAAAAGAGGGCTGCAATAATTATACCTAAAACTGCCTGTTTTTGTCACCGCGCATCCACGCCATTTTAAAATTTCCGCCAGCTTCCAGCGTCAGGTTTGTAAAAAGTATTACACACCATAGCATTATATTATTGTACTTTAAGATTCCCTATACCAAACTGTTCTTTCGCATACGGCACGTCTGCTTTATAGTAGAAATCTTAAATAGTCTTGTTAAATAGACATAAATTGCAATTCCTATACATATTTTATGTTATTAAAAAAAAATTATTGGAAAAAACCGAAATTATTCACGGAAAACTCGTTTTGAAAGAAAATTTGAAAAACAATACCTGTCTGTCTAATTTTACCTTCTGATTCAACTCTATAAACATTTCTTTCATAAATTGAGTGATCAATANTATTATTCATATATTATAGACACCACAATAACAATAATAATTTTATCGGACTACCCTTCTATTGGTCAAATACAAAACAAACTAAAACTGATAAAGTTTTTATAGATGATTGCATCAAAAAGCTAGACGCACACGAATTTCCAAACATTAAATTTGTTAAGGTAGTGGAAAAGCCATTTTAAAATTAAATAACTGAACATTTTATAACTGATTTGTGTTTTCTCTCTGAAATTAATTTATCTTTAATTTACTGAAGTACTAAATCGGTAAGTAGTCGTTAACTTAATTATCGGAGCTGATATGAACGGGAAGGAACTCGGCTAGGACCCGGGAGGGAATTCGACTATATATATTTTAACCAAAACTACCTGCGGGAGGGAATTCGGCATCACCGATCGATACGCAGTTCAATAAACTAATTCAGAAATACAACATCAATCGTTTTCAGTGTAGTTCAGCATGTTAACGTACAATGGTTGTTGTTACAACGTGACATGATACTTATTTACTGCTTTGAACTATATAGCCGCCGCAGGGATATAATCCTTGATTTCAAAGAAGACAATCCCCAAAATAGTACACGCGAAATAGCAGCGAACGTTGGCTCCTCTCGTATGACAGTGTGGCAAATTAAAAAAAAAAGTTGCTGCATCCTTATCATTTGCAGCGAGTGCAAGCCTTGCTTGAAACTGGTATTCAGCCGCGAGTGGATTTCTGTCGGTGGTTTTGAAAGAAAAGTGCTGCATAGCCTAATTTCATGGCGTATTGTTTACGGATAAATTTGCTTCACGCGGGATGGAATTTTGAATTTTCACAATAATCACTATTAGCGCGATGCAAACTGGCATGTCGTAGATTTCAAGAACTGTTTTTGGTAAATGTGTGATGCGAAATTTTTGGAGACTTATTTGACTTTTTTGGTATGTTTACATACAACCACCAGAAGAAAACGTAATGCACCTTAGCAATACCACAGCAGTGGTGTGGAAATTTTCCTTAAAAAAATTACAATTATCTAGATGATATTTTTTTTGTGTTGAAGTGGAATTTACATAGTACTGGTCACTATCAGCGATGAACAAATGTTCTTATTTAACTTATTATTATCTATATTAATTAATTTATGTTGAATAAGTTTCGTCATTTCTATGACCGTTTAATAATTAATATATAAGTAAATCATTCTAATATTGTCGTTAGAACTTTAGTGTTTTGTATCTTCGTGTATTTATTCGTTCGTTATCCATGTCACGTGTCGAATGGGTGCGCGTTTAGTAAAATGAAAATAAAAATGGAAGAGAGGTAGCCTGGCCATTTGTGTACCCTTCTCGATCTCGATTTGCTGACCAATGATCAATAAATAACCGAAATCGAGTGGCCTAAGTCTGACCCGATGCCGGGCAATGTCGAGCTGGTCGAAAAAAGGGGGCATAATATACAGGCAACCAGCGTAGCGCATTCCCTTTATTGTTATTTCCCAGCAATGGAGAAGAACACGGGAATGCTTTCGGCCTCCGGGGCGTTTGAACGGAAATTGGACGTATGAGTCCGGAATTAAATGATTGAAATAGCTACAGAGTAGCTCGAAACGTACAATATATCTAGTCCATTTTTTTTATCAGTCTGCCTTGTAATATCCATTAGCGTAATGAAATTGGACTTTTTTGGGATTTCTATACATTCTAGTAGTTATTTCTGAGTAGTTTTCTGTAACCTTAAGCTCTATTGACAATCTTTGCCTTCCACTTAAACAAAACCTTTTTTCCCGTTCTAATAAGTAAGGGCTTAAAAACTGACCTCTCATATTTAAATACTGATATTGTGATGCTTCCCATATGGATTTAAGTATTGGTCATACGGATTTAAATACTAACCCTTCATAATATTTAAATATTGATCAAAAGGGATTAAGATATTGGCCGGTAAAATCTAAAAGTAATAGTTAAATAATGTTTTGAAGAGCAGCGAACATAAAAGCGATAGTTCTATCCCTGAAGGTTAAAGTAAAGGAAGGAGCGAACACTCTTGAAAAAAGTGTCTGGGAAACTAGAAGAAATAGTTAGCTTCTGCAATCGCAATGTTGTCTCAACATCAAGGTATGATCAAGGTGGACTTTGTTGCTACTGGCTGCTGCTATTATAACTTCTACAAGTGTGGAGGATAGGCAAACTAACGTATCACATATGTGATTCATTACCCTTTACTCTAACCTTTACGGTTATAAGCAAGAAGAAAAGAGATAGGGGCAATAACATACCCAGGTGCTCAAAATTAATAAATTATATGTCGTAGCATCAATAATAATAATATTTATTAATTTTGAGCATATCATTACGAGTGGAAAATCTCAGTAACGAACACGGCCGTTGTTGTTAAAACAAACTTTTCATGTCTACGCGTCACTGCCTTACTGCGCAGTGAATTCCCAAGCGCAACTTACAGCCGGGAACATATTGACAAACGTTACACTGAGCAGCATGGCATGATCTAGAGTTTTAGACCATTCTTTAGCATTCGGGAGGACGCCTATCCGATTCCGCGTCCATCTGCCTTGGTCCAAGTTTTTCTGTGATTTCCTTGGATCATTTAGGCAAATGCTGGGGCAGTAATATTCCACAGATAATCTTTCGTTCTCTTCTGCCTTCATTTCGTCCGTCTTATCTTTCTCACTCGAACCACTACCCACCCATTCCCATGATTTTTGAAAGGAGGCTGAAGAGGGTCTTCTGCCCTACCTTCCGGCGTAGTCCGGAGGGACTGCCCGCCCACCAGCATTAGTGGCTGGTGGGAATGAAACACCCAAAAAAATTTTTTTTAGAGAAACTTTGCCAT